GCAAGCATGGGAAATTGGTAGAGTCCCAGCTGTCAAAGCATTGTTGGAGTTGCACGACAGATGGGGTTCTACCTTTAGTCCAACCTTGCAATTGGGGCTCCCAATAAAATTCATTCTACTTTAGTACCGCCACTGCGTTGGGATGGATGCCGTGATTGCATACCAGGGAGTGAGGGGCGAGAGCGGCAGGGCACAGGGGGCCCAAGCAAACACTTGCCCAGGGTCCATTCGTTATTAAAGACGGCCCTGGCTGCACTGAAACCTCACTTGGAAGTTTAGGGGTTTCTCTATCTTTATATCTATCTTGTGTCTATTTTTTGTATTAAAACCCCATTATGTTTGCCTAGAGTAGGTGTTTTAAAAAAAAAAGTTTATTGGTAATTTATGTTCATTTGATCTGTGAACCAAATTGTGGCAAAATGCACCTATCAGTGAACTGGAAATTCTATAGATAAACATTATGTTATTTATATATTTTGCAGTACAATAATTGGTTCATTTTTACATCCATGTCTGAATTTTTCCCTAAACATTTTTTCTTGAATGGTATTAGGCCGAACCATCACACGAACAAAGATTGTACATCCCAAACATAATTTCAAAAGTGATTTGGCTGAGCCAAACTTTCCCACCACGCACAGTCTAGTGTGATTGACCTCTGAGTGTCAGGATCTGGACCTCAGACAGGTAAGTATAGGATCTCAAATGCAATATAAGTGAACAGACAAAAGAAGCAAGAAGAGGTAAGTAACTCCTAACTAATGTAAAATACAGATACCTTACAGTGTAGGGTTTAACATAAAAGGCATGGACCAGAACTGTGAAGAAAACAAGAACAAAAACTAAGCCAGGAATCCAAAAATTGGGTAGTCAGACAAGACAGTAAGTATCAGGAGATTAGGTAGTCAGACCAACCATATTTGGTATACTGGAAAGTGAATAATAAGACAACCCAAGGTCAGGGCAGGCAGCAAACAGAAATAGTTAAGAACAAGTTCGGTCAAAATCAGTAAAGTTAGAAACACAGAAAAAACACCAAACTCTAGGCTAAAAGAACAGCACATAAATGGCCAATTAACTGGCAAAGGGCCAGAAGAGAGCTTTTTGATAAAAGGGCAAGAAGAGAGTATACATGCCTAGATTGTGATGTTATAACCATAAGCCCTGGAGGAGTAAATGATTGTCCAGGCACTCAAGGTGAAACCAAAGAGAGCATCATGTACTCCTCCAGAACTGTAAAGTGAGGTTTGGTTGACCTCAGATGCAGTTGCATCCCAGGGACAAGTAGAGTACAGTGTAATTTACTTTATATATAACCGTAAGCTCTGACATTTAAAGGGACAGCGTGCAATTTAAAACAATGATGCTTACAGATAAAGTGACAAATGTAACAATGATGCAGAATCCTGACACTGAGTTAGTGTCCTATATAACACATGAAATGACATGAGAGGAAGACAGCATACACTAAACTAATAGCCATGGTATCAAAAGGTATGAATGCAATATATTAGATAAGTGCAAGTGACCCAAAATATGCTTGGGCCCAAGTCAAGGTTCACAATTTTGTACTTGTTAATGACACAAGATGATGCCATAAGCATACCCAGAACCACATTGATGTTATTGAATTAAAAGATCTGACTAAAAGTATACCCCAGCACTGTGATGATAATGTACACTTGAGGTAGAATGGTCATGCTGGGGTATTAACACAAACTGACTAATTTCCTTACAGAACTCTAACTCTACCACACGTCTTTCCATCTAGATTTTACTAATGTTAATCTACTCTTCTCAATGTATGTCAGTTGTGTGTAACTATACAGCAATTTCACTGACATCAACACCTTTTGATCTTGAATGCCCATTTTTTTTTCAGTTAGTGACATCTTGCCTCTAGCACACCAGAATATCTGTTACTGAAATGTGTTGACACATTACAAATAAGATTATCAAACAGCTGAAGATTTAAATATAATCTATTAATACACTTTAAAAAAAATATAAATAATGTCAGTAATATAGACAGTTTTTAATGTAATTTATTTTCAATGGAAGTACATAACCATGCTAATAAAAATGCTTTGAATATAGTTATTATATATTATTTTGTTTACTGTTTTCACATGTTTTGATTCTCTATCATGTATTTCAAAAGAATTCATTTAAACTATATGATGACACTGCTGTATTCATTTTCATACCTATTCTGTCAGAAGACACAAGCAGTTCTGTCAAAACAGCAAAACGTGTTATCTTTAGAAGGAGATATACAAGTATGTGTAATTTCCTGTGATTTCCAAAAGTGTAATTTCTTTACTTATTTATCAAAGTAATGAAAATGACCTCAAAAATATGACTCTAAAGTTATATTCTCAAGAGATGTGCAATATTCTTTAATCTCATATAATCAGAAGTAAACTTTTGGGAATCTACCTTGAATATGATGATTTTGAATCCTGGACTTTTTAGAGTTATTTACAAAAGACATTACGAGATATGAGAAAAAAAGTCTTGGACTTGTGAATGGTGCAAAACTTTTTTGGCAAATCACCTATGCCAAAAACAAAATGTTGGAGATGCTGGCTGAATTTAAAACACATGGTGGTTTGGTTTCATTAGTGAAGAAAGATTAGGGAAAAGGAATCAGACAAACTAAAAGGCATGAAAACCAGTGTACTGCAACATATATACATAATACATAAATATTATGTATACATTTCATACTACACTGATAGGTGTATATAATGTGTATATAATGCAGAGTGTGTGTGTGTTTGTGACCCCGCGGCTCTCACAAGACTTACAGTGGGAGCTGACAGAGGAGCTGCACGGAGGAGAAGGGAGCTGACAGGAGCTGCAGGAAGGTAAGTAACCGCTCACTGTCAGCCCCCAACAGGACCGCCGGGCTTGTAATGAGCCCGGCAGTCCTGGTCTGTATTATGGCAATATAAATTGCCATAATACAGACATTAACTCGAGTATAAGTCGAGTGGGGGTTTTTAAGCACAAAAAATGTGCTGAAAAACTCGACTTATACTCGAGTATATACAGTATGTTATTTTCTTTATTATTTTTATTTTTTTATTGATGAACTTTGCTGGACTTTACTTTTTTTTCATCTGGAATTTACTAAATGAAAGTTAAAGCAAACACTGTTGTGTTAAGTATATATATCCCAATTAACACAGTCCTCTTTCTGTATCTGAATAACCAATTATAGAGTATTGTTGTATAATTAAAATATCTAACTTAAAAAAAAAAAGTCAGTTCAAAAACACAAAACAAAGATGTGTAAAGATGTGCGTATGAAGCCAATCTCCAAAGTGATTGAATATAAGAAGTCATCCAGCACCAAATGTGAAGCAAATAAATAAAGCACCACTAGCAGTACTGAACTTACTACCCTACCAAGAGGCAAATAATGAATAAATATTAAGGCATAAATGTATTGTATCTCTTCATACATATTGCTAAAGGTGAAGTTCCTACCTTTACACTATCAGTTTCCTGTGTCACTCTTTTGACAGGGAGACAATATTCTATTCAGTTTTAACCATAACCCTAGAAAAACTAGTTGTTTACTTTATGTTGATTGGAAAGTTGATGAAACAACCAAATATCTGCAAAGGACCATGTCTTTTGGAAGAATAATGATTTAGTCCTGAAGTAGTTAGAAGGCATTGTTAAGGTAATAATAGATGCTAAAACCCCTTTGTTTTATTAGTAAAACCTTTAAGCAGGTTCTAAGCTTGAAGGGCTTAAAACTGGAAACGACCCCCACGACCATAAGCTTTTGAAACCACATGATGTTGTATGGCAATTGATATATGTAAATAGGCATTAATTAGATACACTGAAATTAGTCAGTCTCTTGCATGGGCTGTGAGAATAATAGAGTTGAAGATCTACATCTGGTATTGATGAGTCTGTCAGTTGTATGTCTATAACATTTTTGGCACTCTGACAGTCTCATGATGTTCTGTTTACTTACCTTTTGCAACTTACCTCTTAAGCTTTTTGTCTGACCCTATTTCCAAGCATGATGCCTGTTGAACCTGCTTTTAAGACAGTATTGTCTGCTATCCCTGTAGCCTGAGAGATTTCTGTAGTAGTGGCGATCTTATGCCCACCATAATAAGCAGCAATCATAGGAGTTGTACCTAACACATCTCTGCACTGGGTTTGAAAAAAAGAGAAGAGGAACAAAAAAACAAAACGAAAGGAAACTGCGAACTAAACTGAACTCTCTCTTTTTGTACAGTAGTGAGTAGAGTGTTCTTTTAAAGAAAAAGCTCAACCCTCTAGCATTGAAGCCTCTTGTATTTTTTTTAATTATTGCCTTATTTTAGCTTCAGAGCAAATAAGAACTTTCTGTTTTTTCTCGTGATTACAGGAGAAAACTTACCTGGAAAGGTTAAAGGATCTTAACATGTATAGCTTGGAGGAAAGACGAGACGGGGGGATATGATAGAAACATTTAAATATATAAAGGCAATCAACACAGTAAGGGAGGAGACTATATTTAAAAGAAGAAAAACTACCACAACAAGAGGTGTTAAATTAGAGGGGCAAAGGTTTAAAAATAATATCAGGAAGTATTACTTTACTGAGAGGGTAGTGGATGCATGGAAGAGCCTTCCAGCTGAAGTAGTAGAGGTTAACACAGTAAAGGAGTTTAAGCATGCGTGGGATAGGCATAAGGCTATCCTAACTATAAGATAAGGCCAGGGACTAATGAAAGTATTTAGAAAATTGGGCAGACTAGATGGACCGAATGGTTCATATCTGCCATCACATTCTATGTTTCTATGTTTCTAAATTACAATTCTTTAAAAATATCAATTAATGCACTTTAAAACCTCTGCAAAAAGAAAGGGCAGACACAACGCCGAGCAGCATGGACGCGTGAGTGTAGAGCTCCGTGCTGGCGGATCAGAAAACCCGACTTTCCCAGGTGCAAACTGCCCTGTAAAGTGACTCACCTGCATGCCAAGATGTCCCACCACAAAGGCAAATGGCAAGGAGACAAATCCTCCTTTTTCACAGCCCGGACTCAGGCTAAACTACTGCCCTTGCACAAGGGTCTTCAAGATGGCGATGATAATTTCGGCGATAGCCACGACTCCAGTCCACAGAGAGGGGACACACCTGAAGGTCATTTAACCCCTGCAGTCCTACAAAAATGCTGGACTCACAACCTGCCAAACTTATTGTACAATTACAAGCCTCAATATCCTGGAGATTGGAGGCAGCACTACTCACCTCGAATCCAAAATGGACGAATACGCGGTGGCACACAACTCAGTGGCAGATGCACGGCAACATATAGAAGACAGACTTTACAAACATGAGGCCCAGCTTACAAACCTGGAGGACCACTCCCGCAGAAACAACCTGCGGATGAGAGGGATTTCAGAGGCTACCTCCATAGGTGAACTACCTGCATATGTGCCCTGACACCCCACAGATGTTCCTGCTCGACAGGATACACAGAGTGACGAAAGCTAAGACTGCTCCAGCATCTGCACCCCAAGATGTAGTGTTAAGAGCTCACTACCATCACATTAAGGAGGAAATTCTGAAAGTGAGTAGGACAGCTAAGACCCTACTGGGAGACTATGTTTCCATACAGATCTTTGTAGACATCTCCTTGGCCACGTTGGCCATGAGGCACAGTTTTGATCCAGTTACCATGGTCCTTAGAAAAGAGCAGATACCCTACAGATTGGGGTTCCCCACACGTTTATGGGTGGTCCGCAATGGTCAAATGAAAACATGGAAAAAGGATGGGAACTGCTCTGGAAGTGGGACATCCCGTGTGAAGAATCCGCCTCAAGCACGCTGCAACCCTTTGCACCTGAATGGAAAAGGTCAAAGAAATAATGTGGTGCCCTACCAGTTTCCATAAGGAGACCACCGCACTTATCTCTGTCTGACATTTGCTCAGGGACTTGGCACAGGTTAATGCTGGAGCATTCCATGGGTGATCGAGTGCAATTTTTCTGGTCCCTCGGGAGACACAACCTGAAGTTACGTTTTGGCCCACTGAGAGACAGCTCATTCAGAGCATGCTCATACTGCCCTGTGCTGTATCTAAGACTGATGCAACTTATGGTGGTGTCAACTCACACTTTCACGTCTATCAGGAGACTTTTGCTACAATCTACAATCTATGCAAAGATGGGAAACCCAGCTAAAATTAATTTGCATTCACAGCACTGTGGTAGTGCAATTTTTTCTTCTTTCTACTGAAAGGAACTCAGACGTCAGTGAAGTGCTCCAGGAGTTATCCAAGATTCCAAGCCAGTGGACATGCTGACAAAGGACTGACAGGTTCTCTCCAACTGGGCATGTGTTATTGGTCAATGTTTGAGGTTTCCAACCCCCAGCGGGCATAGTTACCTAGTTTAATTCCCATTTACCCACTTCCAGAGGGGGGAGGGGGAATCGTTGGAAAGAGGGGGGAATCAAGGATGTCCCAAAAGTTGGATGGGGGGCACTAGAACCCCGGAGTCACTCCGTGATACTAATATATGCAACAACTGGATACAGAGTCTAATTGTCTAGGCCTTCCATGGTTAGGGAAAGGGCTTTACAGGGTAAAGTTTGTTCAGTTATGTTTAAATTCTTCTTCTGTTAAATGAATGTTCATGCAACAATTATCATTGACACCCTTGCACCGGGTGAAAATTATGCAATGTTAATTATGGTGTTGGACCACTTGCGCAGGGTAAAGCCTTGTGGTAGACATGAATGGTGGAAGTTCTGAGCACACCCCCAGGGGCACTGGGTGGCTTCACTCAGTGCAGCAGAATCACTGGAGGGTGACCAACACTGGTCCACGAGGGCTAGTCCTCTAAGGTACTTCTATACTGTGTTTTCTCTCTTTTTTACTTTCTTACTTGTCTAACTCTTTCTCAGGCGGGGGGGGGTGGAATATCCTTAAGGCTGGCGGCTACGTTGGGGTGGCCCCCTTGGGGATGTTACACCATACTTAAAGAACTGCATGCGGATAGTATCCCATAATGTCAAGGGGCAGAATGCCCCATTTAAATGCTACGCACTCTATAGAGAACTTAAGACACTTTAAGCTGACATTGGAAACTAGATCTTTAGATGGCAGGTACGAAAAGATGGCTTATCTGAGTTCAAACAGACACCATAAATCCATAGAAGCATGGGGTCAATGGGAAGCGAAGTTTGACAACTTCAGTGCCTGCAGTGATATACACAGGTATAGGTTGTGGGTAGAGTTGAGTGGACACCTGGATGTTCGGGTCCGGCGGGTTTGGCCGAACTTTGAAAAAAGTCTGTGTTCGGGATCGAACTTGACATTGAACTCGATTGAAGTCAATGGGGACCTGAACTTTTGGGCACAAAAATGGCTCTAAAAAAGTCCTGGAAAGGGCTAGAGGGTTGCAAAAGGAAGTAAAATGGGGGTAAGAGTAGGACAAGTGTCCTGCAAACAAATGTGGATAGGGAAATCACTTAACATAAAATACCTAAAAATTTTAAATACAGCTGAGCCATAAAATAGCACTAGATGGAATCTTTGATTTTAGCTTTGGAAGAACATAAATCAAAATCTAAAGCATGGCTGTCAGGAGGATCACCAGAATTATCCATTTGAGAGAGGGTTGGAGTGCAGGGTATTCTCTTTCATTGTTCAAACTGAGCTCAACTCCTGATGCATGCAGAAAAGACCTTCACAAGCCTCTGCTATTGTGTACATAGTTTATACTAAGTTACCCATAGGTTGAGGAGGCGGTGACCGTGGCGGTGTAGGTGGAAGCGGCGGTGGAGGAGGAGGAGGTAGCCAATACTGTTTTTTATATTTATATATATATATTTTTTTTAATTGGGGTAGCCTCCAAAATATTGGGACATATAAAAAATGAAACATGTGCGGCCTGCAGTGCATTTCTTGCAGTCTTGATGCATGGAGAAATGCTCAACTCCTGATGCATGGAGAAAAGGCCTTCACAAGCCTCTGCTATTGTGCACATAGTTTATACTAAGTGACCCATAGGTTGAGGAGGCGGTGACCGTGGCGATGTAGGTGGAAGCAGCGGTGGAGGAGGAGGAGGTAGCCAACACTGTTTTTTATTTGTTTGCTTTGTTTCGTTTGTTTTTTAATTGGGGTAGCCCCCAAAATATTGGGACATATAAAAAAAGAAAACTCTGTTCCGCAGAGCGACTGACCCGTGCGTGCTGCAGCTAAAACTCCACTATCGCCTGCTGCTGCTCGCACAGTCTCATGAGGCGGTGAGCGGAAAGGCCGAAGATACGCTGCAGCACAAACAGGCGAGCAGCAGCAAGGTGAGAACGCCGAAAGCTCACACAGACTGCCCGCACTTTCTGCAGCAGCTCTGATATATCTGGGTAGTTTTTCATGAATTTCTTCACCACCAAATTCAGCACATGCGCCAGGCAAGGGATGTGCGGCAAACCGGCTACGCCCAGAGCTGCTACGAGATTTTGCCCATTATCGCACACCACCAGGCAGGGCTTGAGGCTCAGTGGCAACAACCACTCATCGGTCTGTTGTTCCATGACCGTCCACAGCTCCTGCACGGTGTGGGGTTTTTCCTCCAAACATATGAGATTTAAAACAGCCTGCTGTTGTTTCCCCCTGGCTGTGCTGAAGTTGGTGGTGAAGGTGTTACATTGCCTGGAAGAGGTGGTGGTAGAGGAGGAGGAAGCAGAGTAGGAGGAGGAGGCAACAGGAGGCAAAGAGAAATGCCCTGCAATCCTCAGTGGCTGAAGGACATGCGCCAAACTGCTATCCGCCTCAGGCCCAGCCGCCACTACATTTGTCCAGGGAGATATAGCGTCCCTGCCCATTCTTACTGGTCCACGTATCTGTGGTTATGTGGACCTTGCCACAGATGGAGTTATACACCTGATTTTGTCCGACAATTGGTTGTGCAGGGAAGGGATGGCTCGTCTGGAAAAGTAGTGGCGGCTGGGAACCAAGTATTGTGGGACAGCCACCGCCATCAGGTTTTTAAAACTGTCCGTCTCCACCAGACGGAATGACAGCATTTCAAAGGCCATGAATTTTGAAATCCTGGCATTCAGGGCCAGGGATCGCGGGTGGCTAGGGGGTACTTCCTCTTTCTCTCCAGTGTTTGGGAGATGGACAGCTGAACGCTTCCATGGGACAGTGTGGAGATGCTTGGGGTCTGTGGCGGACGTGGTGGCGTTGCTGTCACAACCTCTGTTTGTGGGGTGGCAGATGCCACTCTGACTCCAGAGGTGGAGAAAGAGGCCGAGACAGCAGCAGAAGAGGAAGCAGGAGGAGCCTGAGACCTTTCTTGGTTTTTGAGGTGCTTACTCCACTGCAGCTTGTGCTTTGCATGTAGATGCCTGGTCATGCAGGTTGTTCTCAGGTTTAGCACGTTTATGCCTCGCTTCAGGCTCTGATTGCACAGCATGCAAACCACTCGTTTTTTGTCATCAAGACATTGTCTGAAGAACTGCCACGCCAGGGAACTCCTTGGAGCTGTCTTTGATGTGCTTGGTCCCTGGGTACGGTGGGCAGTAGCAGGCGTACCGTCTAGGGGACGGTTGCTCCGCTTTTGCACCCTGCTCCCTCTTATGCTGTGCTGGTGCCTCTGTGCGACCACTGCCTCTTCCTCCAAACTGGACAAGTCACTCGCTAAACCTTCATTCCATGTGGGGTCTAGTACCTCATCATCCTCCACATCATCTTCCACCCACTCCTCAACCCTGCCCTCCTAGCAGGTCTGCACACTACCGAAAGCCACAGCAGTTGGCACCTGTGTTTCGTCATCATCAGAGACGTGCTGCAGTGGTCCTTGCATGTCCACATCCTGACACATAAGTGGTTGTGCATCAGTGCACTCAATCTCTTCCACTTCTGGGGCAGGGCTAGGTGGATGGGCCATGGAAACCCCACCAGCAGAGACATCAAAAAGCATTAGAGACTGCTGCATGACTTGTGGCTCAGACTGCTTGGCTGATTTGCAAGGGGCTGAGGTGAAAGACAGATGGTCATGGCTGCAGGTGCCAACTCTGAGCTTTCAGCAGGGGACCGGGTGGGAGACAATGTGCAGGAACTGGAGGCGCTGTCAGCCATCCAATCTACTATCGCCTGTACTTTTTCTGGCCTCACCATTCATAGAGCTGCA